ATCTAATAATGTTGCCCTTTCTCTCACAGGATGGAAAAAGATCTTCAAATATAAGAAAAAGAAGTAACAAAATGAGTCATTTTACAACTAAAAGCCCTTTAAAAGCCAAACTTGTAAAAGCATCTGTCTCAAAGCTTCATGCAGCATCAGTGTGTTGTCATCAGGCTTGGCAGTCTTAGGAAATTTAAATGTCTTAAGAAATAAGAAGGCAGTGTCATAAACTCTGACAAATTGGATCAATGTATGAAATAAAGGTGAATGCAAACCAGTTGTAACAGTTCTCATAATCATGTTTGTTTTATTTAATCCTGTATGTCAGCACCTTAGAAATAATATCTAAACCCTTGCACTGTTTTGGAAAATTCATTAATGCTTTACATGGATAGAATTGTACAGACAGTTGTTGCCTAACATATCAGCTGTCCATGGGTCATGTGAACCCACACTACCAGTAGACTGCTAAGCCTATCAAAAATGTATTGCTACCATTTTTGATCATAAAACAAAAGTAAAAAGAGAGAAATTCTGAAACTTAGTCTATAAAAAAAGAAAAACAATATGAAAGTGATAGTAATAAAGACGGCTAACAGCTAAAGGAAGCTCAGCCTTAGTGTTTAAATGGGAGTCTCACCTGGAATGACAGAAATTGTTTTCAATGCTCGGAGAACCCTGAACGTTCTCAGCGCCGAGACATTCCCAAGGTCCACAAACTCTGTTACATATCTGCAACAAGGTAGGATGACACACAATACAGAACCCCATGACACACAACACACACAATAACGACACGCACACACGCACGCATGAGCGCGCACGAGCACGACACCAGCACCACCATCGAAGACCAGGAGGGGACACCACGGTAAGAGAGAGAGCGCCTGTCCGACCAGTGGGAAGAGAGCGAAGGAGGAAGAGGAGAGGAGGACTGAAACAAAACCACACCCAACATCAACCCCATGACATCAACCCCGTGACATCGCCCGCCCGCAAACACAGAACACCTGGACTGTCTTACCTGGGATAACTGAAATTGTTTTCAAAGCCCTCAGAACCCTGAACGTACGCAGAGCTGACACATTGCCTAGGTTTACAAACTCTGTTATATACCTGCAAGGTGGATCAGATACAGTTACTCAGCAGCCGTCCCACACAGGATAGAAAGAATAGAGAGTTACATAGTATTTCAATGAGCATCATGAGGGTGGTACGATGGACTGATGTGGAGTCAAGGTGCTGTGGGCAATTTCTGTTTCCAAGCCTTTGCAACATTACACAAATTATTAAATTCAGTGTTCTCAGTTAAAAATGTCTAAGATCTTAATAACAAGTAATAAGGAGGACTTACTTATAGCCTATAATCTGTAAACCGCAGGAGAACAACTTCATATCCCGAGAGAAGATGACACCAAACAAAAATATTGGCATTGAAATAATTTGTGATAAGAGACTTAAAAGCCAAGGCATTGTCACCTTATGATAAAATATATGTGACAAATCAGCTACTGTGAGACTGAGCTCACAAAAATGTGTTAGTCTATAGTTGCCTCTTCACAGTTTGTATTTGTTGATGTATATGACATATGCATTGTATATATGTCCAGATTTGCCCACAGCAGCTTTCAGATAAGAAAGTACTGCCTTTGTCTTTGTTCTGATAAAATAGAACCATCATGTGTTTCACTGTTAAAACCACCGCAGCTGACTGTAGATAACACACTGCAGTTTGTTGTTAGAAGATTAAATCAAATGGCGATAAAGTTGTGTTATGATACCCACTCCATAATGGAGTATATAAGTGAATCATTAAAGTGACTAAACTGACTGATAACTAAAATGTCTAATGTCAGAAGATTAGTTAACATTTTGGTTAATATTGTTGGATTTATATCAAATCCACGTAAGATGTATGACATCACTGACTTGATATTTAAATGTCAGAATATTTAAATGCCTTCAGAATTCTGAGAATAAAGAAGTTGTGTCCCTGTACTCTGATTACCAAAAACAATCCCACAGTGCATCACAGTACTTTTAAGAGTTGCAAAAATGACCATAGTCGTCTATGTACATTCTAGTAATGAGTTTAAATACTTACGCCATTGAGATGACCATGAAATCCAGCCAGTTCCATGGGTCTCTGAGAAAGGTGAACCCATCTATACAGAAGCCTCGGGCAACAATTTTTGTGAGTGACTCAAACGTATAGATACCTGTGAAGGTATACCTTGGAAATAAAGAAAGAAGAGAGTAAATAGTGACGGACACATGAAACAAGCAAATGATAGCTGAGGAGGAAGTATGTACGTGTACTTACTCTACTTGTTTTGACCACTCCGGAGGGTCACTAAATGTCATGAATATACAGTTGGTCAAAATCGTACACATGATGATCATGCTGAATAACGTGAGAACAGTTAAGGAAAGTCTGAACAGTGTCTCCTACATTTAAAATAATTCTAATATGGCAACAACTTAAATACAATTCAAATACTAGAGCCCGACCAATTTAACTGTTGGCTGATATTGGTCGATATTAGCCACA